GATGTTCGTCCTTTGTACCAATAAATAATGTATGTCCAATAATATTGATGTTTGTATACCGTATACCTACTCATCGCAGAATTTGTTTAATCATTATTGTTGAAAAACCAAAACCTTAATCCTTGTCTTATAACGTCCTACCGATATCTCGGTTTCGCCGACTCCAGTCGCCTCCATTTTTTTAACTTTTGCTCATATTTCATGTACTGCTTGACTACTTTCGATTGTGATATGTTGACGACGTTTGATTTTGGTGGTATAATGATTTTTGATTATAAATGTGATTGTTGATGAACTTGTATATAATTATGACCATCTTCCTTTTGCTCCAATTGTTCTTCATTTTGTACATGAAGAACAAGATCTAAACTCATTGGACCATGAAATAGTGACAGTGGTTCTTCTTGATTATCAGTTTGTTGTTGTTGTTCTTGTACGGCTCTTCTTCATTTTGTACATGGAAAACCATATCCGTAGTTATTTGATGATAATTCCGAACCTGTTCTAATCTTCACTCAATGAATATCGGATAAATCAATTCTGCTGCGGCCGAACAACTATACACTGCGTATTTTTTTAATCGTTCACGTTCTTGTGTTGACAAATAAGCACCCAAGGTCCTATCAATTCCGATTTCCTAATTTGCCAATGTGCTTGATTTATTTAAATGGTGGACAAGTGTTTCAGATAAAATTTAGATAAATGTCTTTCTTCAACATAAAAGAAAATGAAGGTTTTACAATGAATCGTCTAGGAGGAGATACAAATTTGTCCCGCTAAACCCATGTTCTAAGAAACGTTAAACAAGTTTAAAGAGCATAGTGACAGTGGATTTAAGGTTCAATATAAGAGTGTGATACATATTTATTAGGAAAAAAGAAAGCTCTTTCTATTCAGGCATCACCGGTTGAATTACGTTTAAGTTTTTTAAAGTATATGTATCGTGGCGCTGGAGACGTGACTGGCAATGTCTTTCTTATCCTCATAGAGGTTATTTGACCGCTAGAAAATCTAATGAATATCTGACAGAAACATCAGATATCACGATTACGGCATAAGACACTAACTAAACATCTTCACTACTGAAAATGACGCTATTTTATCCACGGGAAGGAATGCTAAAAGTTAGCTGAAAACCGAGATGGCAGACAAACAACCTCTCAAAACTTCATAAACAACTAGTTCTTTTGTGGAAAGCGACACATATTCTAAAAGAGAAGACTTCAGCATATCTAGCTGAGCAAGATACTCAATTTCGATTTTTCTATGAAAATCATCAATTTCTGAGGGATCCTTAACAAGGGTCTTATGGGCACTGAATGTAATGATTCACAGATTTCGCATTAAGATGCACTGGCATCGCCGACTTTGAAAAATAACTTTTTGCATGAAAAACTGTAACCAAAAACTGGTTAAGCACAATAATCAACTCCAAATTGTAATATAAGTTTAATCTGAAAGATAACATTCACAATTGTCCTATAAAGTTTTTGTATCGAAGAAGCATACTTGGGATGATTTACGCCATTTGGCTTATAAAATAGATCACGCTCCCAGTAATCTTTAAAATAATACAATGCTCGATCATTTGCTTGCCGTCGTGTTACATTTTTGGTCATTAAGTGTTTCTCAAGTGCATGTGTTTTACCAATATGTGTCTGAGCACAACACGATGGTAAAACGTAACGAGAAACATTTCGACGAGCTAAATGACCGTTCAGCCATATGTCGTCAACCAATGAAATACTTTTAGTGATGTTTGTGTAATTAACATATATGTGTTGATCGAAAAAGCGCGGTTTAATTAGATAACCACTGTTAGCAGTGATAATACCGACACGATATGGTTCAGAAATATAATTCGTTTCAACAATATGCCAGAAAGTCTCAAACCACTTGACACCCCATTTTAAATCTTCACGTATTCTCCAACCTCGAAACCCGATAACAGCATCTTTAAATAATTGCTCATAGAAGAGCAATGTAGACAATGTATGTAAATGATAATAGTGATCATCATCACAAATAAATATAAGCTGATTAGAAGAAAAAAATGTGTGACTACTTTCTAAGACTGGAATGAATTTTGTTGCTGGTCCACGATCAACGACAAAATAAATGTAAATTAATCTATCATAGAGTATTGATATCATACTGGAGTCATCTACATTTTGCAAGTATTTCTTTAGAATTGATTTCGTTATATTATTATTATATACATGTGACAGATAAAGATGAATTTCTTTTGGTAAAACTGTCTGTGATAGTAGTGAATGTATAGTTAACGGTAGCTCATCGCGAAAACGAAGAGAAGTACTTGTTAACGAAACAATAATATCTGACCTGATGTCGTATGTATTAATACCATATAAAATAAAGTACGTACAAAAATATATGGTCAATGGTAAAATACATAGAATTACTAGCAAGAATAAAATAAACGATGAGTAGTTTCGTCGTTTACTCATCAGTGGAGATTTGCGATGAATCCGGTAGAGATAACGTGCAGGAGCAATAAAAAAAGATGACATGATCATCCAGGATAGTATGTGCCTAGAATATAAACCGAAACTATTTGAACTACGTAAAGCAGCTTTTCGCATACATTCAGTTGAATGCAAAACATGAAGCTAAGGGTAGTGAAACTTGCTGTGTTATTTCGGCGCGAACACCCGTTATATAATTTTCATCGGAATCGGCACGGTTTATGTATTACTAACGGTTAGCGTATGAATAATGAGACACTTTTGTTCGTGTTTTTCGAGCACTGAGCTGAAGCTTGACCAAGCCATTCCAGGCACAGATAATAGCGAGTTGCATCTCTTCAGAATTGACAGTTGCACGGCGTTTAATTATTTGACGCAAAAAAGAGAAAAGTGATAACGAGTGAAAGATGAGATGCTGAAAGATGAACCAATGCACAGTGTGTATCAGAACATGGTAATGAGTAATCTCTACAGGCGATCCTATAGCTCGAAACATTTTTCCTTCTGTTCAAGATCTTTTGGGCGGTTTATGATGGCTCTTCTCGCAATAGCTGATTCAGTTTATTTGTACCAACTTATTTAGTTAAGATAGAGTCGAAAGTGAATGTCACTTTTAAATAAAGACGTAAGCTTTCTCATAACGCTTTTTTATCGATTGAAACGGTGTCCAAACACGTGTAAACGACGAAATAATAGAAACGCGTTCAATCGATCCTTGAAACGGCAAAAGAACGGTCGGTTTTGGAAAAGAAAAGCTTTCTAGACCGGTAAAAGATCGGTGGAGACCGGCCCGGTTACAGCTCTGTGGTACTTCTGATGATAGCTAATAGAAACATTATTAAATAATTAATTAAGTCAAATACAAAAAGAAATATAATCATTTACATGTCCTCACCCTGCGTTATCTTTTTAGATGACGAAACATCGTGCAACTGTTCGTTATAGAGAGATGTGAGAGCAGAGAACTCGCTATTTTTTTGTGCATGAAAATGACTTCTTTAAGCTTCAGCTCAGTGCTCGAGAAACAAGAACAGAAGTGTCATTATTCATACTGTAGCCGTTATATCAATTTTTTGCAAATTTTTTGACATATGAAATGAATTGAACGTCTACTCTTTTCTCACCTGGAGGATAAAAAGATGATACCGAATACACAACTATTCATCATCATACTTGTTCTTCTTTTTTTCAATTTTCTTCTCTGTTTACTGCAAGGAAGCGATGCATCCTAGCCATCGAAGCGGAAATATCGTACATCACTTATTAACTGCTATATAATTGCTATACATATTCACCGCAACAGTTACGTTCTTTTGACTGTTCATCGTTAATGATGTCAAGCAGTTGTAGAATAAAGGACGGAGGTCGATAAGAGGCAAAATCGGCCTTCTCACAGATCAATCTTATATTAACCGTCTGACGTAATTTTGTTCTACGATTAATCCTAACAGATTTTTAGACCTTAAAAATCCTTTTCAGTACCCCTTTGAAACATTTTCGCAAAAAAAAACCGTTCCGTCGTTAAATGAACTTTACTCAGAGTATTTTCATTATTCCACCTCTTTCGTCTAAAGCAAGTGTCAGAATAGTTTCTTCTATCGTTAGTGACACATAGAGAATTCGATAGAAGAAACTATAATAATTTTCATGTGTCACTAACGGGTGGCTCAGATTAAACGGGACAAGATCATTTTCCTTTTTCGGCTACTCAGATACACTTCCAGAACTTCGTTTTATGCTCATTCGATAGAGAATTGAATTCTCTACAAAACCAGCTTGTTATTTTGCAGTCAAGTTAAATGGTACTAAGTTGTCGGACTGCGACACACCGAAAATAGAAGAATATTTGCTTTGATGCGAAAAATGATTCCAGAAGTATTTTGAAATCATCAGAAGATTCTGCATCTCTTCACATATTTTTC